GGGGGGGGTTTGATTCTTTGCTTTGTCTATTATTTAAAATTAATTATTTTAATTTTTTTTCTTTGTAGTATCATGGTGGAACTAACTTTGGCCGTGTAGCTGGAGGACCATATATTACCACAACTTATGACTATGACGCACCCCTTAATGAATATGGTAATAATTATAGTTGAAAAATATTTTTATTTTTATAAATTTAACATTTTGATTATAATGCATGACTATTTAATGGGTAATTCTAATTATTGCTCAAAATATTTTAGGACAATTAAACCAGCCTAAATATGGACATCTCAAGGAGCTTCATGAAATACTTAAATCCGTTGAGAAACTTCTCACATATGGCAATGCAACACAAAAGTCTTATGGTGATGATGATTGGCAGTATACGGTTAGTATATATACATATACATTTTCCCGTTTTATTTTCGTCTTTTATATATATTCTTAAAATTTATTCGGTAATAATTTATGTTCGATTTACTAATTAATTACTAATGTTTTTAATATGGTCTTGTCCAGACTACTGTGTATGAATACCAAGGCTCAAGGGTATGTTTCTTAGCCAATGCAAATGACAAAAATGATCGGATATTCAATTTTGAAGGCAAAAACTACACTGTTCCTGCTTGGTCAGTTAGTATTCTTCCTGATTGTGTCAATGTCAAATACAATACAGCAAAGGTATGACATATTTATATGTCTTATTCTTATAATTTAAATTATTTTACAAAATACATAATTTTCTATTCTTTTTTTTCAAGGTTAATGAATTTTCTATTCTTTTTTTTTTCTTCAAGGTTAATGCTCCAAAAAAAGTGATGCTGAGAAAACCAAACAATGCTGATAACCCTAATGGCTTAGATTGGAGTTGGAGAGCTGAGAGACCTTCACATCTTAAGCCTTCTTTTATCAACATTAAAAAGAAAGGTGTTTTATATGCCAATCAACTTCTTGACCAAAAGATTGTGGCAAATGATACTAGTGACTACTTATGGTACATCACAAGGTAATATTTTTCTCTTTTTCTTTCTTTCCTTTTTAATAATTTCTACGTTTATCATTATTTCTATTTTCTAATTTAATCATCTGGTATCCTTAACCACTGGTCCGACTAATTTGATTGCATTTTTGTAGTGTGGATATTAAAGAATCTGATCCACTTTATGGTGGTGAAGCTGTTCTTGAAATTCATACTAATGCACATGTTCTTTATGCATTTTTCAATGGCAAGCATATTGGTATGTATTATAAATAATAATTGTTTTAAGATGTAAGTTTATTTTATTAAGGTTTGGTTTAATTTTATTTAAATTTCTGTTATATTTTAGGGACTAAATGGGCGAAAGATGGAAAGTATAGTTTTGACTTTCAGCAACTTTTGAATCAAACCTGGAAAGAACACATTATCTCTCCTTAGTGTCACTGTTGGATTTCCTGTAAGTATTAATTTTCTAATTTTTCACTTTTTATATAGATAATATTTATTCATTTTTTTTTTTGACAATAAATTTTTTTATTTGTCTTAGAATTATGGAGCCTATTTTGACAAGGTCAAGAATGGAATTCTTGGTCCAGTTGTGCTGAAATCACCAAGTGGTGTTGTGAAAGATCTAACAAATAACCAGTGGGAATACAAGATTGGTTTAGAAGGACTTGAAAGAAAGCTTTGGGAAGATGAAGATTACATGCATAGAAATTGGAAACCAGCTCAAACTCTCCAAACAAACAGAATGTTTGTATGGTTTAAGGTACTGTTTTTACTACTACTTATTCTTGAAGATAATTCAAATTTAGTTTTATAAGATATAGTACATATGTACATGTTACAGTGACTGAAACAGAATTTTCATCAAGCACGCTCAACATCTACTATATATACATAATTTATTTTAACAAGCGATTTTTCAACGAACCTCTTCTGCCCCTTTAACTCCGCTTTTGTGAATGTATTATACTAAATAGGTTTATATGGTCTTTGGAAAATCATGGAATTTTTTTAGTCTTCTCTTTTGTTGATTTTTTCTATTTTTATTTTTTACAGACAACATTCAAGACTCCCTCTGGTGATGATCCTGTTGTGTTGGATATGATGGGATTGGGAAAAGGAACAGCTTGGGTAAATGGAAATAATATTGGTCGATATTGGCTAACTTCTTATGATTTTGAGAAAGAGAATGGCTGTAGTAGTTCATGTGATTATCGTGGTAATTATCATCCTGAAAAGTGTGCAACTAATTGTGGACAACCTACTCAACGCTGGTATGTTATATTGTTCTAATTTTTTTAACCTAAAGTTTAATTATTATATATTATAATTTAATTTTTGGTCACTTTTTCTTTATAGGTATCACGTACCAAGATCTTTCTTGCGTAAGAGTGACAACAATTTGGTTATATTTGAGGAGTTTGGTGGTCACCCTGCAAAAGTGAATGTTCAAACAGTTTCACAAGAGTAGTGTCAAGACTAGCCAAGACTTATCATGGATGATAATTTCTCCAATTAATTAGTTCATAGTTTCTTTTTTTTTTTTAACTTAGTTATCTACCATGTAGTATGATTTCCTAGATTAGATATTTAGATAAAGTTTAGAAAGATTATAGAAATTATGGATCTTTATTTACGTCATACCATAATATTTATATAATCATTACTTGTTATTTCAGTATTTATAATCTCGTTGTTAGCTATTTATGCACTTCGAAACCAATATTGAGTATTATCATATTCAATCCTTCTTGAATTTTAAATTTATGCAACTTATTGGCACCGACTATTTACACCAACTTGTACCTATTAACCATGGTTAAGAGATTTAACTAGGTGAATTAATTACACACAATGTTTCTTTTGGCACTATTAGGCAACATCATATGATATTGTCCTACATGAATAATAAGCTCACAATAAACAAAAATAATACATACTACTTTTAGCAATGGGAAAAAAATGAAGCAAGATACTATACTAAACAAATGGGGGAAAATCTGATCAACCAGCTTGAGCTATAGCTGCAGATACATTCTTATCAAAATCACTGCTCAAAATGGCAGCTCTTCATCTAATGCAACTCTTCATAGGCCCTTCAGCATTAGCACGAAATCACTCATTTAGCCATTATGTTTTCTGGGCTTGTCCTCTGCAAAGTCAGTTACAACACATTTGATTATGATGAATAGATTTTAGGTGGATCCAGGATTTTAACTTCATGGGATAGTCGAGTTTGAAATTCTACCATAGTCCATTTGATTATTTGATTCGAAATCCTTATTTGTACTAATTTAGTGGATTTTAACACATATACAAGATCTGAATTAGAGCTACGGGGGTTCAAATGAAATGAGGTGCAGCCGGTGCGAGCACATTTACTGCTGTGTATGTGCGCGTGTGTGTTTGACTTTGCTTTCACTAAACAAGAAAACAATACATATTAGAATAGTAATGTTAGTATATTATCTACACTAAAAAGGTATAGAAATTTGTAAATACAATAGAGACGACAAGGTACCATAAAATAATTGCACAAAGAGAGGGAGGGCAACTCACATATAGACTCTGGATCTATATGTACAAAGAAACTTGCAGCAACTATAAGATAGCAGAGGAGGGGCATCAGCCCTTTAAAGTAATTAGAAGTTCCATCCTGTACAAAAAAGGACATCGTTTAACCGCAAGGATGCAGCATGGTAATAGGATAAGATAAATGTAAATTCCAATCATAGCACTCAAGTACAGCCAGGCAGTAACGGAGCCAGAATTTTCATCAAGAGGTGTCAAAAAATAAATAATTAGCTACATCGAAAAGTCGAGGGGAGTTAACGTATATTATATATACATAAAATATAAAAAATTATCTAGCAATATAGTGTAATTTTTCGGCGAAGGGGTATCGCTTGACACCCCTTGGTTCAATGTGGCTCCGCCACTGCAGCCAGCCCGTAGCAAGACTTGCGACAACGTTAACCAATTAACCATTCTTTAACAAGATAAGATATTGCCACTCTAGACATTTCGTCGTCAAGCAATTTCTGCGAAACAACGCTAAATATTGAATTCTCCACCAATATTTCTAAATTGAAGATGAACGGCCAACAACAACAACAACAACAACTAAACTCAGTCCCAAACAAGTTGGAGTCGACCATATGAATCCACACTGACCATGTACTCCATATAAACTCATCTCAAGCCAGAAAGGGAAAAATGAGTAAAATATGTAGAGTGATAGCATACCTGCAGCATGAATGCTGCAACAAGGACAGTCATAAGAAGTGTGGCTGTTTCAAACATTTGGAAGTCCAAGTTCATAGGACACCCTATTATCCATCCAACCACCACACAGAATGGGATCTGCACCAAAAGAACATATGAAAACAAGCATAAATTACCAAGGAGAAAAAAAAAGATATCAAAACAAAAACATGTGTAGTATCTTCTTTTTTCACTTGGCATTTGAAGTTGCTATTAATTGGGAGTTAAAACTGTGGTTTTCTTGATTATAATGGGGGAGTAACAAAAGTTTTTGTATTTCTCGAAATAAAGAACTGAAAAAGTGAGGTGTATTGCTGGAAATGAACTGCAAAGAAGCTACGGAGATACATTCATATCTTGATTAAATAGATCAAAAATAATTTAGGTACCTACCCCAAACATGGCAATCTGTGTTGACGAGCCTATTGCCACTCCCAAAGATATGTCCTGCGCAGCCACAAATTAGTAAATGAGGAATGATGATTGTAAATCATTAGCTTTGTAACAGATAAAGTTGAAGAAAATACAAGCTTGTCTTTGACAGCAAACATAACAGCTCTGGCATGTTCAGTGGCGTTTCCGACAATCGGGAGCAGTATCACACTTATAAATGCTACACGAATATTTATTGCAACGAACGCCCCCTGAAAACATTGTCATGCTTATTGGATGAGGGATTCAAAGAACCAAAAGGGAAAAGGAAAAAAAAAATGGCCACAATTTTTTTGCTAGATTCTATAGAAAAGGACCTTTTCTTTGTTGTGAGTTATGATAAAGTAATACCTGGATCATTTCAATCATACAAATCTGTAGCAGTAGCCAGTAAGTTGTAAAGGAACAAGGAGAAAAAGAAAGAAATTAATTATTTTTAAAGAATACAAAATTGCAAGATCGAAAAAGATAAAGAAATTTAATAGGATGGACTTACCTCTATGGTATTGACTAGGTACTCCGACAAGACGGCTATCCAGTGTCATAACAGAGAGCCATAGAATCGAGCCCCATTTTGATATCTCGTGAGCTTCTTCATAATCTGAACTCTCGTCAATCTGATCCTCTTCCTGAAATTATACTAACTAAACTAAGAAAAAAATTTGGAGCAAATTCATGAAGTAAGAAGTCCAACCTCGGCCATTGGCATGTAAAGATTCTTTTGGTTTGTCAGCTGAAAAAATAGATATGCGCCATATGCTACAAACATAATGCAGCTACTAAATCTGGAAAGCGCCAACTCTGACTTCCCAAAATGTAATTCAGTATGCGTAACATGGAGGACAGCGGGGAACAGCAAGCACATAACTGCCATTAAAAGCAACCCTGAATTCATCACTGCAGTTCCCTAACAAATAAAATTTGAAAAAGATCCAATTATCCTTGTGTTATTCATTGATCATTATACACTATTATTGATATTGGTGTACAGAAATCATATATGTAAGGAGTGATGAAAATATACCTTGTTGAAAACCTGCTCCTTATTAGAATGAACAATGCCACCACCAAAAAATGCACATCCAAGCACTAGCAAAGTATTAGACAGAATTGAGCCCAATAGTGATTGCTGTACCACACGAATCATGCCACTTTTCAGAGCATACATAGATATTATTAACTCTGTTGCATTTCCAAATGTTGCATTTAGAAGTCCTCCCACTGCAAAAGTTTTAACTGAGAATTAATCCAGATGATATCGGCTAAATACTGTGCAACTACAAAAAGGACAAGACATCTTTTTTATAGGTCAAACTTAATCATATATATTTTCTTCAAAAAACCATGGGAAAGTTTGCTAGAAACATAATACTTAATACTACAAGTTTGAAACATATGCTACATGTACAGCAGATCTATATCTGAGAAATCTAAATTATCAGGTAATTTAAGTAAGGATGTTCAGAAGGCAACATTAAGATAGTAGCTTTAGAAAATTTTAAATGAAATATATTGGCTGCACATTTTGTTTTAACTAGGAGTGGAAAAGAAGATACTAGCAATTTTGCAGGAAGCTAATGGTTCAAGTCAAATAGTTGGTGAAGACAGCTACTGGAAATAATGCTACTTAGATAGGAGATGAAGGGTATGTAACCACTTGGTGCAGGAGACAGGTCAATAGATCCTGAGATTATGTGGAGTATTGACTGAATGCAAGCTATGCTGCCCGTTTGAGCTTGCTCACATTGCTCGTCTCGAGCCCTGATAAAGGAAGGGAGTTGTGGTAGGCTGACAACTAGCGTAAAATTAGTTAGCCAATTGATGATTAATCCCTGAAATAAATATCGTTGGGACTCACTCTCCTACACACACATTACATAGATAATGCGGAAAAAGGATTAAAATTTAAAAAGCAGTAGATGGTACAAAAACATCACGTACTTATAAATCATCTATTAAAGCAATAATGAAGATGAGTGACGCAGATGCTTGCTGTTTCTTTTTTGCAACTCTACTAGAGTTATTAACATAAAGAGACAATAGACATGCATATCTACAGGTAAAGACAAGACTACCTGTAGGTCCAGTATAAAAAGCCAGCTGCCTATACAAAGAATGAAACCAAACAGATATTAGTTACTTCTTGGAAAATGTATAACAGTTTTAAAAGTTTGTAGAGAAAAACAAGTCAGTAACCTTCAGTTTATGTTCCAAATACAATGTCTAATGTTAACAGTTTAACCGAGAAAGGATCAGAAAGCTATTGTCTTTTCAAATTATGTAGACATCAAAAGATGGACATATATAAGTTTAAATGTTGTCCAGCTCAAAAGAACTTCCATTTCACAGTTAAAAACTAAGCCTGAGGCCTCAACATGTCAAGAAATGCTGGCATGTCTTTAAAAAAACAATCTGAATGTTCTTTCGTATGCTATTCAATATACTTTTACGACTGTCATCATCTGCCTCGACATCATAAGAAGATCTTTGAGGAGCGGCGCCCAAAGAAGATGTCTTTCTATCAAAATTCTCAGATCTGACAAGGTCCTCATCCTCAAGCTGAAGTACTGCTCTTCCCTCTGATAATCCCATCTGTATAGCCAGTATCACTTCATTGGATGTGATGAAGAAGGACAGATTTTATTCCCGTCAAGATATTTTCATGCATTCAGAGACCATCATAAATATGCAGAAAGATAAAATTTTTGATAGGCATGAAACTCAATCAACTCTTAAAAACTATAATCTATTACCTTCATTGATAATAGCCAAAAA